GTCCAGGCCAGGCTCCAAATCTACACAAAAAAACTCTGGCTCAAAAAGGCAAAAAAAAAAAAATTATCAAGTAAGAATTACATTTACAATATCCAGTCCATTTGCATTTGGCAAATTCAGAGAAAGCACTCCATTATCTATCCTATGGAGTCCAAGGTTGTACCCCTAATTTACTTCCTATCCTAACTTGTACTACCAACCCCAAATTATCTTTTTAGAGCTCAAAACATTTTCTTAGATAAATAATTTAAGCCTTTATGATTCTCAACCTTATAAACTTTTTAACTCTTATGTTTTTTTTCTGAATTTGATAACAAGGAAAACTATAACTATAACATCTCATCTTCAACTCCACCTGAGAAGGATATAACATTAACTAAGTAAACAGGAAGTGTAGAGCAAGCAACTTCCAAAACTATAGATATGACAGAAACAGCTGGCTGTCTGGACAGTCACCAAAGATTCCTCTGCAACACTGGGGCATCCATTTTCAGCCTATAGGCCTCAAATATCTGACATATTTTTCTGTGGAGCAGGAATTTTGAAGGACTGTCCCACCTTGCCTTGGCAAAGTGACAGTCTTCAGCAGTCTTTTTCCTTTGTCCTGTGTCCTGCTTGTCAAATTTGGACAGCATACTGTCAGTAGTCAAGGCAAGGGCAGTTTCTTGCCCAAATGGCTAGCTTTGCCACAATGAAAGCAAACTCCATATGGAGATTCTTAGATGCCCATCATTCTTTTATGAAGTAGATTGTTGCTGCCAGGAGCAGAAGTGTCTCACTATCTTGAAAAGCCTTAGGTTATTAGACATTTTAAATGCCATATTCTGTAGGTCTCTGAAGCATTTGAAGATCACCTATCTATCTAAAATATATCTGTTTAACCTTGAAAACACACCTAGTATGACTACAAGTTTGGATTGTTATAGATGACTACTAACCTGCATTTCCTAATTATCTTAAACAATTTGTAATAATAGCTTTCAAGGAGTAGAACTTTATAATACATTTTTAAATGAGCTGCATAGGTACTGTACTTTAAACAAGAGTAGAAACATATATACAGTGTAACAAAAATAACCCTAAACAATTTGTAATAATAGCTTTCAAGGACTAGAACTTTATAATACATTTTTAAATGAGCTGCATAGGTACTTGTACTTTAAACAAGAGTAGAAACATATATACAGTGTAACAAAAATAACCTTAAATTTGTATCAATATACAAAAATCCATACCAATATAAAATATTTGAGATGAAGAGTTGTCTTCTTATTCTATATTCCGATATCCCCACTAAATGATGACAAACATCCATAACCCACTGAATGACCAAAACCCACCCACCCCCACCTCTTGGGAATGTGGGCGTAGTGTTCTCTAGACTGTTTCATATTGTCTGGGGGCAACAGCATTCCCCAGGGGACCCTGGGAAAATGGAGATAATGGTCAAGTCCTAAGAAAACTATCTTTAACAGTTGTTGTCCAGTCTCTGTAATGGGAAAGTGCAAGGCTTATCTGAAGTCCTGGATAGAATAGTCTGTGAGGCTGGACCATCTCAGCTGGTAGCCTTGAAGTTGTTGTGAACTCAGAACTCTGGGGAAACTGCAGCAGAGGCACTCTGAGAGGCTTGATCCCCTGAGCCACCCATTTCCATTGTGTCTGGTCCCCTTCCTCTGAAAACACACAAACTTTCAAAGGTAATACACACATCTACATTAGCACAACTATGGACTGTGTTGTAATGAAGCCAGGAAAAAAATGACTTTTTGTTTTGTATTTGAGCAGGTAAATTTCTATCAACTTTATAAGTTTGTTTGGACTGTATAACCAACCAAACCTCGACCCATGCCTTATCAAAGGATGGCATGTAATAATAAGTCAGGAGGAGTCTGTAACCAATATGATTTATCATGTATGTTTGTCTCTTTATGTCTGTAGCCAAGATTTTCAGAGGGATCTCCCCAAATCAAATCTGGTCCGTATTAATTTTGAAAGAATCCACAGCCTTTCATTTCCTGTGGAAACAAAAGCATAATCTCTCCCCCAGTGAAATACATTTTCTGAATTCCCTTTTAAAGTTAAGACATCCCTAAAGTATCTAGGCTGGTTTAATTCAGCAATTCCTTTTACAATTCCATGTCTCTCAGCAGCTGCCATTCCCTCATCAGCATTCAAAAAAATTCCAAGTCAACAAAGCACCATGCAGGATCCAGACTCCCTGTATATTCCCCATCTTTACCTGGCTTTTTTTTTTTTTTTAATATTTCTTTACTCTTTCTTTAAAGACTTTAATTATTCTTAAACTATTTTTCCTATGACTGACTATACCTATTTTCTTTTCTTTCTTAAGCACCTATGCACACTGTAACCTGTGGTTTTTTTGTTGTTTTTTTTTCTGTCTAGACCTGTTTTACTATGCACCTGCAGTGTTCTCTGATGGTGTGAGCCAAACCTAAACTGCTAAGTGGCAGTTAGGCTCTCTGTCACATGGCTCTGGAGATTGGCTCCGCCCCCTCCTCGGGTCCATTAGAGACAAGCCTTAAACCCTTGGACCTGTCCAAGAGCTGCATTTAACCACCCAGCTCCAGGAAGTTGGTGTCCATACTGTGGCAGATGCTTTTTACTTAGTTTTGCTATTTCTACTTAGTGTGCCAGCTGCTCAAGTGCTCTGCCGTACAGCAGCACCTCTTAAAGGAGCTGTATCTGTTTTTGTTCTCTCTCTCTCTCTCTCTCTCTCTCTCTCTCTCTCTCTCTCTCTCTCTTTCTCCAGCTCTCTCCTTCCCAATGTGGCAATTAGGGCCCCACACTGGGCACCATCCTGGGACAGTCCTTAAATAAAAAGAATGTGCATCCTTGCGGGCCATAATAGTGACTGCCATTTATTTTCTTTTTTATAAAAATATTTATTTTTTTTATTTATATACATGTAGGTTGGGGGAGGGGCAGAGAGAGCAACAGACCCTCTGGAGCTGGAGTTGAGGCAGTCATGCACTGCCTAATGTGGGTGGAACTGAACTTTAGTCTCTGAAAGAACAGCAAGTGTTCTAACTGCTGAGCCGTCTTCAGCCCCAACAGCTGCCATTCTGAGAGTAGCTGCATACAGTGGGCCAGGCATGTGCTAGCCCTAGCAATGTAGACACTATTACTCCTGCCGCTCTTCCAGAAGATCCAGGTTTGATTCCCAGCACCCAAAAGGTAGTGCAACTCCAGTTCTAGGGATCCGACACAGACACACATGCACGCAAGCCAAAACACCCTTATACAGATACATAAAAGCAGTTTTAAGAAAAGACTCTTTAGATGAAAGTATAAAAGACCTAACTGGGCTTGGTGGCTCACACCTATGTAATCCTAGCCCTCCAAGATGCTGAAGCAGAACTGCTTCAAGTCTGAGGGCCAGCCTAGATTTCATGGTAACTTTCAGGTCAGCCTGTCAAAAAAAAAAAAAAAAAAAAGCAAACAAATAAAAACAGAAAGCAAATACTTTCTGGAAGTTTGTGTGGTAACACACCCATGGGCTGGGGAGTTACTGGTCACGAGCCAGTGGCTATGAGCCCTACTCTCTTATATAACTTGAGACTTTTTTTTTTTTTTTTTAGACAGGGTTTCTTTGTGTAGCCCTGGCTGTCTTGGAACTCACTCTGTAGACTAGGCTGGCCTCGAACTCACAGAGATCCACTTGTCTCTGTCTCCCAAGTGCTGGAATTAAAGGTGTGTGCCACCACCGCCCGGCTACTTGAAACATTTTTTTAACTTGAAATATTTTTTTTTCCTCCCTTCCGTCATTTAGAAAAAGGATCTTCCACCTGCAAAGTGCGCCCGGCCTGCACAGACAAGGATTATTTCTATACCCACACAGCTTGTGATGCTAATGGAGAGGTGGGTAGCACACTTGGAACTTCTGTTCTCTGTTCCTTCGACCTGACCACTGCTCAAGCTCCAGTGGTCAGTGAAACTGACACCGGGGAAACTCCACAGACCTGCATGGTGAACCCAGGCTAGTGAGGGGCATGGCTTCATTCACGCTCAGGTCAGCCCCTCCTTTTGCCTGGGTGTGTCACTCAGCATTGGCACGCACTCTTTCACAAATCCACTCCATTTTCTTTTGCTCCGTCTCTCCCATTTGCTTACCCCTGGGCCCCACCTGCCCACCCACACCGGCTGCTCTCCACAGAGATACCCAGTCTCATGTGCTAACCACTTCAGGTGAGAGCAGAGGGCATCTCTTCCCACTTGCAGCTCCCTAACTGGTTTAGTGCCCCACCGTTTCTCCCCAGCCCCCACCCACCCCTTTTCCTCCTGCCTCAGGAAAAGCCTTTTCCTCGTCTCTGGGCTGACAAGCAATGATTGTGTGACCTTGTGTGTCAGTCAGGCTGGGGATCAAGATGACTGAGAGGCATCCCCACTCTCACGGAGGTCACCAGGGCAGCCGGGAGGCAGCTGGCAATGGTGGTGCACACCTTTAATCCCAGCACCAGGCAGAGGCCTGGTCTACACAGCTGATTCCAGGACAGCCAGGGCTACACTGAGAAACCCTGACCTGAAAAGCAAAACAAAATGAAAACAAACAAAAAGAGAAGAGAGTGCCCCATAAGACAATGGAGGTGATGTGTAGGGCCTAGGAAAATCCTGAAGAACACAATAGGCCAGAGGAGCCAGAGAAAGCCTTTTTGAAAATGCTATTCCACAGTCAACAAATAATTCAGAGGGGTAAGGGGAAGTTTTTGTTTATTTGTTTGTTTTAAAACAGTCTCACTATGTAGACAATCCTGGCCTAGAATTTACAGAGATCCTCCTGCCTCTGCCTCCTGAGCATTGGGATTAAAGGGGTGCATTACCATGCTCCACTAATAAAAAGAGTCTACAGATTTTTCTGAAGACAACTAGTCAGCACCTCCTTTGTCACAGAACCCTCATTAGACACACCCTTCCACTCTGGTCAACATTATTTGGCAGACAGTCACTGTGTACAAATGTGACCAGAACAGAATTCTCTCCTGTTTCTGGAGTTCTCATCCCTGACCCAAATGTCCAGTATCCTCCGATGTTCTTGATATGGTCTAAAACACGGGCTAAATCTCATACATGCTGAATCTTGCTTGATCTACTTTTGCAGACACAGCTCATGTACAAATGGGCCATGCCAAAAATCTGTGGTGAGGACCTTGAGGGAGCAGTGAAGCTGCCCGCTTCGGGTGTGAAGACCCGATGCCCACCCTGCAACCCAGGCTTCTTCAAAACCAACAACAGCACCTGCGAGCCCTGCCCCTATGGCTCGTACTCCAATGGCTCGGGTAACAGCCCTGTTGCTCTGTTTCCCACATCCTCCCCATCCTAATATTGGCTGTTGGGTGGGCCTCGTGGATGCCCAGAGGAGCTAGGTGATTGCACTCTGCCCATCCTCTGAAAGCAGTGAAGGGCAGGCCGGTTCTGAGGACCAGGCTCAGAAGTCTGTAGGTCAGGGTCAGATTTAACAACTGCCTGGCCTTCTGCCTCACTGCATCTACAAATGTGACTCAGGCCTCAAGAGTCTCAGTCTTCACAACAGAGATGTCCAGTATGTGGCAAAGATGCTGACTAGAAAGTCCATGGAGCTAAGACGACCAGCTGGACAGAATGGCAACCTATAAGTTATATAGCAGAAAGGAGTCTGCTATATATATAACCTATAAGTTATATAGCAGAAAGTTATATAGCAGAAAGGGGGTTGTATACCTGCTAGAACAAATACATTGGATGACAACGTGGGATCATGTGAAGTACATGAGTAAGATTAAATGATACTCCAAATGAATGTTTGATAAGTAAGGATAGGTGGAGTGCTGGTCGGTGTGCTGGATTTGAACATGCGATTTTGGGTCCCTGTGACCTATCTGTGCTGAAGCACTACGCCGTCTGCTGTTTGGCTGCCACTTGTCTGTCTGGTAGAAGTTTCAGATACTGACTGTAGGGTTCCTCCTGGGTGATGGATCTTGTGCTTCTCCTAGATTGTACCCACTGCCCAGCAGGAACTGAGCCTGCAGTGGGATTTGAATACAAATGGTGGAACACACTGCCCTCCAACATGGAAACTACAGTTCTCAGCGGAATCAACTTTGAGTACAAAGGCCTGACAGGTGACTGCCTCTCCCCACTTACCCTGTGCCGTCACTCTTGGCACTCCCATGGGAAATCATCCATTCCCTTGAAAGTTCTGCTCCTTCCAGCAGACATGCTACCATTGCTTAGTTTCAGAGACAGAATGGCTCTAGGGAAAACATGGACAAGCCAGTCTGGGTGGTTCAGCACTCAGGAGGCAGGAGCAGTGCTGCAGATATGAGGCGATAGTGAGTTTCAGGCTGGTCTCAATGTGAAATCCTTCTCGAAACAACAAAAATATTAAAAATGAAACAAAAGAGGTTGAGGCAGAAGTATTGCCACAAGTCCTGGACAGCCTGGGATACTGAGTGAGATCTTTTCTAGAGAGAAGAAAGAAAGAGAAAAAGAGCAAGGAGGGTAGATAAGAAGAAAGGAAGATAGTCAGTTGCCGGTGGGAGGACAGTGTGATTATCCCTGGAGTGTCACCCAATCCACATTTGCCCCCTACCTGAGGACACTGACCCTTCCCTCTCTTTTTCCAGGCTGGGAGGTAGCTGGTGACCACATTTATACAGCTGTTGGAGCCTCAGACAACGACTTCATGATTCTTACTCTAGTTGTGCCAGGATTTAGGTGAGGAATACAAAGCCAGTGGAAGCCCAAGCCAACCTGGCCTCATCCACATCCCATGTGTCCTTGAGGGGGCTCTAGATTGAGATTTGTTTCACTTAGGTATAAACCCAGAGCAGAGGCAAGCACACCAAGGCCATGTTAACTGTACACTAGCACATGTTCTTATTTTATTTTTTATTTATTCTTATCTTGCATGTATATGAGTGTTTGCCTGCATATATATATATATATGCGCATGCCCATGAGAAGCCAGAAAAGGACACTAGATTCTTTAGAGCTAAAGTTACAGGCAATTGCAAGCCACCACATAGGTACTGAGAAGCAAACCCCAGTCCTCTGCAAGAGCAGCCAGTGCCTCGAATCACACTCTGCAGAATCCCCTTCCCACCCCACCCCATCCCCCGCCCAGGGCATTTCCAGAGAGGTCTGACTAAGGAGGAAGATCTCTCCACGTGGGTCGGGGGCCAGGCCTGAATAAAATGGAGAAAGGAAGCATGTGTCTCATGCTTCCTCACTGTGGATGCACTCGGCCACCTCGTGTTCCAGCTTCCACACTTCCCCAGAGTAAGCCCTTTCTCCCTTCAGCTGCTTCCTGTCAAGTAATTTGCCACAGCAGTGAGAAAAAATGAATACACTGTCCATGATGCATTATTGACCTACCTAGCTTCTCTCACTGACTGCTTGCTTTAATCCATCCTCCTCACAACAGCAGAGAGAATTTTAGAGTCTTAAAAATAACACCATCAGGGGGCTGGAGAGATGGCTCAGAGGTTAAGAGCACTGGTTATTCTCCCAGAGATCCTGGGTTCAATTCACAGCAACCACATGGTGGCTCACAACCAGCTGTAGTCAGATCTGATGCCCTCTTCTGGTGTGCAGGCATGCACGCATGCAGATAGAACACTCGTATACTTAGAACAAATAAATCTTTTAAAAATGCAGTTCATTTTTATGAAATATTTATTAGATTTATTTCATATGCTTTGTGTGTATGCATGTGTGTAGACATACTTTTCTTGTGCCAATTTGATCCCCTGGAACTGGGGCTATGGATGATTGTGAGTCACCATATGAGTTCTGGGACTTGAACCTGGGACCACTGCAAGAGCAACACATGCTCTAAAGCACTGAGCCATCTCACCAGCCCATATACAGTTCAGATTTACTTAAGGCAAGAAGATTGAGCAGGATTGTTCTTACTGCATTTTATAAAGTGCATTCATATATTGTACACTGTTGGATGTGGATACTATAATGAGAAATAAAGAAGATAGTTATTACTTCCATTTATTAGTCACACACTGGCCAGGTCAAGGACGTATAGCTTGGATGGCATAATTGGATTTATGCCATCCCAGTCTTTCCAGCAATCTCCTAACCCAGGTCTCCCAAACCCTCACCTGACCCCTTCTGCTGTCCAGACTCATTGAATAGCACTGCTCAGCCTCTGAGATGACTTTAGTTTATGTCCCGCAGACCTCCACAGTCAGTGATGGCAGACACGGAGAACAAAGAAGTAGCCAGAATCACATTTGTCTTTGAGACCATCTGTTCTGTGAACTGTGAGCTCTACTTCATGGTGGTATGTTTCTTCTCTTAGCCAGCTTTGGTCTTCCACAGGAGGGTTGGGCCAGCTTGCCCTAGCAGTAATGCAATATAAAGGACAACTATTATGGTAATTCCACAGAGCAAGAGCCCAGGGTGACTACCAGGGACTCCATAGTATTTAGAACAGGTCTGGCCAGTGTGACAGCCCACAGGACAATGCTTGCTTCATGTAGCCATCATGCCTTCCTCACTTGTCTATCCTGGCTTAGGGCATGAATTCCAGGACCAATACTCCAGTGGAGACGTGGAAAGGCACCAAAGGCAAACAGTCCTATACCTACACCATCGAGGAGAATGCTACTGTGAGCTTCACATGGGCCTTCCAGAGAACCACTCTTCATGAAACCGTGAGTCCATCTCCATTCCAGGTGCAGACTGTGAGCACAGGAGGAATCCTGGCGAGAGCTTCTGAGTTCATAATTTTCAGGAGCCAAACAGAATGCTTAGGGTAGCCCTCTAAGGGTGTCTAGCCTTTTCTAAATTGTTTCCAGGGAAGATAGCATTGCATAGGTACCTTCAACCATCTGCCCCTCCTAGCAGTCTCCACCGTGGGTGAAGCCAGAAATCTGTGGCTATTTTTAAGAATCATCACTCTGCCTTCTTTCATTTTTGAGACAGGGTGTTGGTATGTAACCCAGGCTGACCTGGAACTTGTCAGTCCTCCAGCCTTAGCCTTGCCAGAGCTAGAGTGCAAACCTGGCTTTATTTTCTTAACTCAAAATAATACAGATTTATTGCAGAAAATACAATAGACCTGGGCTATAAAGTGGACCCTGTCGGAAAAAAAAACCCAAAACAAACAAACAAACAAAAAACCCCAACAACAACAATGAACACCTATTATTACCATCTTACCCAGGGGTCGCCCAGTTACTATCTTGGAGAGTATGCATTCTCCATCTGTCTCTATTTCTCCCCATCCCTTATGAATAAGTGTGCTCTTGCTCTCAATCCTCATCCCCCCCACTCTCTGCTGTTTTTAGAGCCGGGGTCTTACAGTGGGATAGGCTAGTTGCCTTCTGCCTTGAGATCCTCCCACCTCTGCCTCCTGAGCGTTAGGATTATAAGGTTGTGCTACCACACCCAGCCCTAGTTTTTCTTTCTCCTTAAGTACATGGATTTTTGTTTCCTTTTACAAAGAAAATCCTGCCTCTTCACCCCACCCCCATAAATTACAATCTCCTATAAATTTCCATGGTATGCTGGGTGGTGGTAGCACACGCCTTTAATCCCAGCATGCTGGAGACAGAGGCAGGCAGAGTTCTGTGAGTTCGAGGCCGCCTGGTCTACAGATCGAGTTCCACAACAACTAGACCTACAGAGAAACCCTGTCTCAAAAAGCAAAAACAAACAAAAATTCCCATGCTACATGGCATTTTTACATGAAACTTGAGTGGGTTAGTTTTGTTGTTAATTACACATTAAAGATCATTGTCTTTTTCAAGTTAAACCCACAATTTATTTTTAATATTATTTAAATTAGCATACAAAGATTACCACTAAATAAAGTGAGAAAGATGCTTCTTGGGTCCTTCTTAGGCATCATGAGATAAGCCATATAAGGGCCTAGGGACTGGGCTCAGTCAGTAAAAGCTCTTGCCATATCAGCCTGAAGACCCATTTTGGTCTCTAGCACCCATGTAAAAACCAGGACATGGGACAGTTCAATGAAAGACCCTGTCTCAAAAAACAAGGTGATAAAAGGATGTCTGGTGTCTGCTTCTGGCTTCCACAGGCATGCTCACATATGTGCGTGCACACTCACGCACACATATATACATGTAAACACAAGTAAATAAAGTAAAACTAAAAACGAATTTCTGCTATTTCTATGGTTGCAGCTGTCTCAGGCCTTTCCTTTCTCGGCTTTTGTTTTCTTGTCTCCAGGGCAGAAAGTACACTAATGACGTTGCCAAGATCTACTCCATCAATGTCACCAACGTCATGGGTGGCGTGGCCTCCTACTGCCGTCCCTGTGCCCTGGAAGCCTCTGACTTGGGCTCTTCCTGCACCTCTTGTCCTGCGGGCCATTACATTGACCGGGATTCTGGAACCTGCCACCTCTGTCCCCCTAACACCATCCTGAAAGCTCACCAACCTTATGGTGCACAGGCTTGTGTGCCCTGTGGCCCAGGGACCAAGAACAACAAGGTGCCAGCAGTCTGCCACACATGGTGACCTTTGCCCTCTGCTTGGATGGGTGCTGGGTTCTGGATAGGATTCTGGAGGGACTGATACCCACATGCTGCCCCTAGCAACACCCACATCATCCCATGCTCAGGTTGTTGAGGAGGACACCAACCCCAAGTTACTGTGGGCAGTGAGTTCTTAGCAGGAGATCGTATCTTCCTTCTGTAGTAGACAAGTCTCACCTCCAGCTGGTGGAGGTGGGGACCTTGGGGTCCAAAGGGTTATTTGGTATCAGTGCAGAGACCTGAAGGGAAGAAACAGTGGGGTCTGTGGCTCAAATTCAGCCTAGTCCAATCCAGCCTCCAATCACAGGAATCTGCCTCTCTTTTGGGAAAGGGAGTCAACCTTTGCCGGAACATATATATTGGCATCACAGACATAAAGATCTAGCGTGGCAAAACAGTGTTACCACCCCATGAAGTTTCACAGCCAAGAACATACACATTCGAGCCAGGCATGGTGGCGCATACCTGTAATCCCAGCTCTTGGGCGGGCAGAGGAAAGAGAATCAGGAGCTCAAGGTTGTTCTTATCTACACAGCAAGTTTGAGGCCATCATAGAACTCATGAGACCCTGTCTCAAAAAACCAAAACCTAAAACAAGACAAAACCCCAAACAAAGCACAGAAAACTAAAGGGTCTTAGATACTCATTAACAATAATCATCGATTTGTGTTTTACTGATCATGTCAGGTAAACACCTCCAAGACTTTATTCATTTATTTAAATTTATTTATGTATTTATGAGACCAGGTCCCATGTAGTCCAGGTTGACTTCAAACACTATGTAGTCCTGAGGGTGACCTCGATTCCAGAGCCTCCCATTCAGTTTATCTGCAAATCACTGTACAGACAGACCCCTGACAGTCTTTCAGGGCTACCTGGGACATTCTCCATAGCCTTCTTCCCCTGGAGCTCCCTCTGCTGCTGTGGGAGGGAATGGCAATGTGTCAGGCTGCCTCTACCAAGGGTCCTTACACACACAGCAAGAAACAGGGAACAAAGCCCCTTTCAAAGCTCAGTTTCCTACAGAGAACCCTAGAAAGGGGAGGCAAGTTTCAGTGTGTTTTAAATGACCATGTGTGTGCTGCACATGAGGGGAAGCATAGAAGTCTCTCTCTTGCCATTCTGGAATCCTTATTTCAGTTAGGGCCCCACAGTCTTCTGCTTTTTTGTTTGTTTGTTCTGTTTTTTTGAGACAGGGTTTTTCTGTTTAACAGTTCTGGTTGTCCTTGAACTCTCTTCATAGACAAGACTGGCCTCAAACTCACAGAGACCCACCTGCCTCTGCCCCAAGTTCTAGGATTAGAGGCATGTGTCACTACCGCCCAGCGCCTGTCTTCTGCTTGAAAGACTTGGTCAAAGAGCACTTGCCCAACCTGCACGAGGCTTAGTTTAGTGCAGGTTTAGTTCCTAGCACTGTTAAAAACAAAGCCAGGTGCCACATGCCTTTAGTCCCAGAACTTGGGAGGCAGAGACAGGCGGATCTCTGTGAGTTTGAGGCCAGTCTGGTCTACAAGAGCTAGTTCCAGGACAACCTTCAAAGCAATATAGAGAAACCCTGTCTTGAAAAACAAAAACAAACAACAAACAAACAAACAAACAAACAAAGCCAGACAGAAATTCTCCAATGATTGCTGGCGTCTGGGAACCTCAGAGTTCTGCGATGGAATATATGTGCCACAGTAACAGGTGTATTCAAAGACTTTTAGGCAGGGGGGCATTTAACGGACATGAATGAAAAATGTGTCAGACGTATTGGAACAGGATCCTTGGCCACAATAGTCCAAGGTTGAGTGGGCAGTTGCCAGACAGACGTCCTTGTAAAAGTCCTTTGTGTATATACGGGGATGTCCTTGCAAGAATCTGCACACTGGTGGCTCTGTCAGCATCTTTCACGACAGCCACCATGGGCAATTGTAGACGTGTTCATCCTTTATGTGAGCGTAACGGTATGGCAAGGTAGATCCTGCCAGTGTCTGTTTCACTTCTTTTCATGTCCACCCCAGTCCTTCCTTCCTCCTCTTTCATCCTTAGTCTGCAGAGAGGCCTGTCACACTCCACTGCAGCCCTGAAGGTCTCAGCCTGCCTACTAACCTGACCCTTCTTCCCTCAGATCCACTCTCTTTGTTACAATGACTGCACCTTCTCCCTCTCCCGGAACACTCCCACCAGGATTTTTAACTACAACTTCTCAGCTTTGTCTGGCACGGTCTCTCTGGCAGGAGCGCCAAGCTTCACTTCCAAAGGGCTGAAGTATTTCCATCATTTCACCCTGAATCTCTGTGGAAACCAGGTAAGCTGTGCGAGCTAGCAATGTGAGGACTGAAACTGGATGGGAGGCCAGAGATGGGCACGGGAGAAAAAACTCAGAATCCCCGCGACAGCAGGGGAGTGAGAGAATTAAAGAGGTTTAAATAACTGCAAGTCTTCTGGAGGATTTTGTTTTTCCTCCTAAGATTAAATGTACAACAAATACTTAGGAAAATTTTTTTAAGTTTTTAAAGTAAGATCTTTATTCAGGAAGTTTCAGATTTTTTTGAACCATTTCCAGTTTTAGAATTTTAGATTAGGAATGCTTGATTGGTGAATATGAAAATACCACACAATCTGAAAATCTTTAAAACAGAAATACTTCTAGCCTCAACTATTTCTGATAACCCATACTCATTCTCTTTATAAAAGAATAAACAGAGGGTTGGGACTCAGTTGGGAAAGCACCTGCCACGCAAAAGGAAGAACCTCAGTTTGGATTCCCAGCACCGAGGTCAAAGCCAGGCAAGGCAGCTTGTGCCCACGATTCCAGCACTTGACAGGCAAATGCACGCATGTTCACACTTGGCCTTTTGTGAATGTGCACACACACAAAAATACAAGAATGAGTGTAATTAAAAAAAAAAAAACAGAAAGAAGGCAGAAGGGAGCTGGGCAGTGGTGGCACACACCTTTAATCCCAGAATTGGGGAGGCAGAGGCAGGCAGATCTCTGTGAATTTGAGGCTATCCTGGTCTAGAGTAAGTTCCAGGACAGGCAATACTGTTACACAGAGAAATCCTGTCTCAAAAAACAAAAACAAACAGGAGGAGGAGGAGGAGGAGGAGGAGGAGGAGGAGGAGGAGGAGGGGGAGGAGGAGGAGGAGGAGGTGGTGGTGGTGGTCACCTGAAGTGGTTAAAGCGAAGCTTCCAGAGTAACAAATGGTAGTAACTTGGGAAAAGAGAGTACAAAAGCCAACTGTAGCCAGTCTCGTTGCAGGGAGTTAGAGGAGGTGATATGGGAAATTTGGGATGTTGTGTCCTTTTATTCCTGCTTCAGCCTCCCAGGGGCAAGGTATACATCTCCATAGCTAGCCATGTAAAGTTATTAAAGACTGGAGGAGCCAGGCACGGAGGTACCTAAACAGTTCCAGCCCTCAGAAGGTTGAGGGGGAAGATCTGGATCTGAAATTCAAGGCCAGGCTATGTAGTGCACTGTTTCAAAACAAAAACAAAACGAACAAAAAAGCCTGGAGGAGAATTAAATTTCTGCCTCTTAATACATGTTTTTGCATTTTGCTTTATCTTGTTCTTTCACAAAACAGAAGGAAGAGGTTGAGGATACAACTGAGTAGTTGAATGGTTTAGCAAGCACAAGGACCTGGGTTCATTCTCCCAGAATCTCCTCACCTCCAAAACTTTATCAGTTAAGACACAACCGTTTTGAGGTCGTTAGTGGCTAGCAATCCCACCTTTTGGGCAGACTGAGACAGGAGAATGTAGGGAGAAATCCTGCCTAGAGGTACTGCTGACCACGCCTGCTTGGGCCTGGCCAGCGGTACCTCCAGACAGTATTTCTCCCTGCAGGGTGATCATTAGTTCTAGGTCCAACTGGGCTATCTAGCAAAAGCTCATTTAAAAAAAAAAAAAAGAGGTGGAGGAATAGATGTCCTGCTCAAGGGTCTAGGGTCTGTTTGAACCCCTGGGGGTCTCTGTCTAGACTGTGCTTCCAAGGCAGACAGCTGAAGCACAACACCCAGGAAGACAAGAAGGTTACATAAGCCATCTCAGATGTTCCAGTAAAGGTCACTGGCTGCAAGGATCAGCTGCATATCTCAGCTTCCACATAGAGGACAGACCCAGATACAGAAGGACCCAGTTGGTTAGCACTCCAAAGCAGCTGCCACTACCACAGTCTAGGTGACCCCAAGGAATCAAAAGTCTGGAGACTTCTGGGCTAGTGTCCAGAAACCAGGATGTAGACCTTATCTTTTCCTTCCACACCCCAACCCCTGCCTTCAGCCTTCTAGTTAGAGCAGTCTGCTGCAACATGTGATAGGAAAGTTCAACTTTTAGATGTTTATAAAAATTTACTTTCCCCCACATTTCCCTACTAGGGGAAAAAAATGTCTGTGTGCACAGACAATGTTACTGACCTCCGGATACCTGAAGGTGAGGCCGGTTTTTCCAAGTCCATCACAGCCTACGTCTGCCAGGTGGTCATCATCCCCTCAGAGGTGACAGGCTACAAGGCTGGGGTGTCCTCACAACCAGTCAGTCTTGCTGACAGACTTATTGGTGAGTAACCCCCAGGCATGCTTCACTGTGTATGTGTATGTGTATGTGTGTGTGTCTGTGTGTGTGTGTCTGTGTCTCTCTCTTAATAGTGTGTATATGTCTCTCTGAGTCTGTATTTGTGTGTGTGTGTCCGTGTGTCTGTGCCTCTGTGTGTGTATGTCTTTCTCTTTCTGTGTCTGTGTCTCTCTTTGTGTGTGTCTGTGTCTGTGTATGTCTCTGTGTGTGTGTGTATGTGTATATGTGTGTCTCTTTCTTTATCTCTCTGTCTGTGTTCGTGAGTGTGTATATATGTGTGTATATCTCTGTGTGAGTATGTGTGTGTGTGTGTTCCTCTCTGTGTGTTTCTCTGTGTTTGTGTATGTGTATGCTTGTTTGTGTCTCTCTCTGTGTGTATGTGTATGTTTGTATCTCTCTGTCTCTCTTGGTGTGTGTGTGTGTGTGTGTGTGTGTCTGTGTGTGTGTGTGTGTGTGTGTGTTAGAGAATGTGAGGCTGACAGGCTGGAAGGTATGTGGGTCCTCAGTTTTCAATTCCATTCCACATGCCCCTGGCATCTCTGATCAACCTTGGGTCACTTTGTATTGGCCACTCGGTGATATGATGAAATGAGGTGGTGGCTGACAGATCTTGAAATCAGTGAAGTAGTTACTAGCTAATGCTATGAGAGAGAGCTAATTGGGAGCTCCGACTTGACAGGGGTGTCGACAGACATGACTCTGGAAGGAATCATCTCCCCGGCTGAACTTTTCCACCCAGAGACCTCAGGGATCCCGGACATAGTCTTCTTTTTTAGGTAAGGATGGGAGACCAGGCTAAAGCAAATGAAACCTCGGACTCTTCTACAAATTTGCACTGCTCCTTCTCTATCCATCTCTTACTTGTCAAGTCTGTGCGTGTCTGAGGTCTAGGGTCACCCAGTCATCAGAGTAAAAGCTGGCTGTAACTTGACTCAGGCTTTTTGCATATTGTTGGGGCCATCATGCCCTGGGACAGGGAGAAATATGGAAGATGTGCCACCAACTTCCCTGCCCCAAAAGAGGTCCCAGGATGCGCTAGCCTTTTCTTTCTTAGGCCATTGCACTGCCCGCTTGACTAGATCCTCACTCTCTTCACATCAAGACCAAAGTTTGGTCCTACCTATTTGTCAAGCTAGAACCTGAGTGCCTACTTGGCCAGTGAAGGAATCACCCCATGTAGACTCCATATAATGGCTCCCCAGTAGCAATGGAGTGGCTCCTCCCCTCATGGTGTTGGCTTTACTGTAGATCCAATGATGTGACCCAGTCCTGCAGTTCTGGAAGATCAACCACCATCCGCCTCAGATGCAACCCTATGAAAGCTGCTCCGGGCACTCTGCAGTTACCCAGGTAATCCCTGTGGAGAGAGGCGACCCGAGCTGCAACCTCAGACTCATCCCACCCCAAGACCAGAGATTATTTAAAAAGAAAAAAATCATTTTAAAGACATTCGTGTGCTCTTGGGGACACAGTCATGGCCCCTAGACCTTAACTCAAAAAATAAGTCAGGTGTGGTGGCTCATGTCTTTAATCTCAGCACTTGGGAGGCAGAGGCAGATGGAGCTCTGAGTTGGGGGCCAGCTTGGTTTCCACATCAAGTTTCAGGCCACTAGGGTGACACAGTGAGACCTTGTCTCAAAGTGGGGAGGGGAACAGGACATTTTAATCTATTAGTGATATGGAAGCAGAAAAAAAGCTTCCTTCCTCAGATGGTATGGAAGTGGGGGGAAAAGTCTCCTTACAGCATAAATATCACACTCAGCAAAGCAGACCTGAAGGGGTGCATGGCTAGAACCTCAGTGCTTGGGAGGTGGAGACAGAAGGACCAAGACACTTTTGTGCATCACTGGGGCCATTATGCCCTGGGGCAGGAAAAATATGGAGGATCTGCCACAGACTTCCCTTCACCGAAGGAGGTCCCAGTATGTCTTTTTTTTTTTTCGGGGGAGGGGGGGCGGGAGGCCAATGCATTGTCCCTTGAATAGATCTCCCTTGTCCTCACTCTCTCCACATGGAGACCAAAGTTTGTGCCCCAATTGAGGATGCTCTCAGTAACATAGCGAGTCCAAGGCCAACCTGGATTACATGAGATGCTATCTTAACAAAATAAAACAAAACAGATCCCCCCTCAATAGCTCAGTAGGGAGAGTGTTCGGTGCATAAGCATGGAGACCTACATTTGCTCCCTAGCACCTAAAATGCTAAGCATGGTGTGACATTTGCTGTCGCAGTGTTGGAGAGCTGGAGACAGGTGGGTCTCTGGAGGTTACTAGCTGGCCAACCTTGCCTAATCAGCACAGCCCCAAGTCCCAGTGAAAGACCTTATACCTCAAAACAAAGAGGACATCTCCTAAGGAACAACACCCAAGGTTGACCTCTAACCTTCACAAGCACAGCACAAACCTATGTCTGAACTCCATCTCAACTACAATCCCTCAACCAGGTAGCTGTATAGAAGTGGCCATTGTAAAATGTGACATGTCCATGGAGAGGATGGGAGTCTTTTGGGGTTGGGAGTGTAGCTATTCTGGAACTCAGAAATCTTAAATTGAGCTTCTTACAATATGATGCACATTGGGTGAGGGTCAAACGGTGAGTAGAAGACAGACAGAGACCTGTAGACATAACTTATGTGGAAGGTTTATTGGGGGAAAGTAAAGGAGTAAGGAAAGAGAGAGAAAAAGACAGAGAGCTATCTCCTCAGAGAAAAGAGAGAAGAGGGAAAGTGGGTGGAGTTTTCCTCTTAAAGAAACCTTTGCAACTGCAGACTATGTATGTAGCAGCCATAGGACCCTGGGCTGGCCAAGGTACTGCCTGAGTGCATTCTGCCAGGTGAGAGGGGGCAGGCCAGCATAATGCCTGAATCCTAACGGAGCTCTCATTTGACGTCAACAGAAACAGGTGGGGGACTTGAAGACCAAACTCTCAAGCTGGCCATGGTGGCACATCCATACATTTCCAGCATGTAGGAGGCCAAGACATGACATTGCTGTGTGCTTAAGTCCTGTCTGAGCTACAGAGTGAGACCCTGAGAGAGGGAGGAAGGAAAGAAGGAAAAGGGGAAGGAAAGAAGGGAATGCATGAGTTAAGGGCAGGCTGAGGGAAGTATATTGGGGAGACAGGAGATGAATTAGACAAGAAGTGAAACAGGCATCCAACCAGGTCTTCCCACCAGCCCATCACGTGACATCCGCGTCTCCTTTCTACTTTGCTAGCATGTGCTCTGACGGGACCTGCGATGGCTGTAACTTCCACTTCCTGTGGGAGAGTGTGGCTGCTTGTCCACTCTGCTCAGCCTCGGACTATCACACTTTTGTCAGCAGTTGCGTGGCTGGGATCCAGGTAGGTTACCCCCAGCTTGGGCGCATCCGGGATAGGAGAGATTATGAGTTCTGAAGCCCCTGTTTCTCTCCCCAACAGAAGACTACTTACATGTGGCGAGAACCAAAGATGTGCGCCGGGGGCATCTCCCTGCCTGAGCAGAAAGTCACCATCTGCAAAACGATAGACTTCTGGTTAAAAGTGGGCATCTCCGCTGGCACCTGCACCGCCATCCTGCTCACCGTCCTGACCTGCTACTTTTGGAAGAAGAATCAAAAGTACATGGTGGGGTCTGCGGGAGGTCAGGGTTGGATCCCAGGGCAGGACAAACATCTGAGGATGTTACTGAGAATTTCCGTTGGAGTTGGCTATTGAGAGACTTTTAAAGACACTCATCCACTGTAGGCCTTCATTCTTGAGCAGGGATGGCTATCTAAAGATGGCTATAAGAGGCCGGGCAGTGGTGGTACATGCCTTTAGTCCCAACACTTGGGAAGCAGAGGTGGGCGGATCTCTGTGAGTTTGAGGCCAGCCTGGTCTACAAAGCTACACAGAGAAACCCTGTCTCGGAGTGTGTGGGCGGGGGAGGCTATAAGATTCTCTAAAGAAAAACCAAGCCAGGTGTGGTGGTGCAGATCTTTAATGCTAGTACTTAGGAGGCTGAGACAGGCAGACCTCTTGAGTTCAAGGCCAGCCTGGTCTACATAATGGAACCCTATCTCAAAAAAAAAAAAAAAAAAAAAAAAAAAAAAAAAAAAGAAGGACTATCCTTGGGCTGAGATTGAATATCAATGGTAGAGTGCTTGCCTAGCTTTCAAGAGAATTGGATTCAAAAATCCAGAAAAAAAAAAAAGACAATGTTTTTAATTTGTTGTTTTTATTAACAACACAAAGGCAAGGTATGGTGGTACCTGCCTGTAACCCCTACACTTGGGGGGTAGAGGCAAGAGCACAGAGTTCAGGATCATCCTCCAGCTACATATCAGTTCCAGGCCAGCCTGGGCTATATGAAACCCTGTCTCATAAAAACCAAAACCAAACAAACAAGGCATGACTTTATTCAGTCTCGAAGGAGAAAAGTTCATTAAACTGGGAGCCAAGACTCCTTCTGCTCACCTGGTCCTCACGCCCTTTTACAAGGGTTCCCTTCCCTTCCCTTCCCTATGACAGGGAGGGGAGTTCTCCATGCCCCTCGCTCCCGTACTCTCATACCGTGCCTCTTCCCTCGTTTCACAGACTGGAATACAAATACTCCAAATTGGTAATGAATGCTACCCTCAAAGACTGTGACCTGCCAGCAGCGGACAGCTGTGCCATCATGGAAGGAGAGGATGTGGAAGATGACCTCATCTTTACCAGCAAGAAGTCACTGTTTGGGAAGATCAAATCCTTTACCTCTAAGGTAGAGAGGGACTGGAAGTGAACTGGGGATCAGCTTAGAGGGGTGGAGAGGACACTGGGTGGTGGCCCTGCTCCACTTAAGAGCTGCATGCTGATCCTAGCTCTGAGCACCATTCTAGCCTCTCCTAGAAACACCACCTTCTTCCTTCTGAATTTCACATCAATAGTCTCTTCCCTGGGCCAAGGTTTCACCCTGCTCCTTCCTCCCACTGTGTGTTCTAGTGGATAGAGTGGTAGGGCCTTTTATCTTTTAGCAGGAGTGCTGAACCGCCTATGTGTGATAGTTAAACACCACACACACACACACACACACACACACACACACACACACACACAGAGAGAGAGAGAGAGAGAGAGAGAGAGATACAGAGAAAGAGACAGAGACAGGGAGAGAGTTGGGGGTTGGGGTTTTTTGCTTGTTTGTTTTTGTGAAGGGAAGGCCATCTCTAGGTTCAGTTTCTGATAGACTAGTGGAGGGTGCCATCCCAGCTGAGTTGGGATTGAGTCATAGCCAAGTCTAAACTGTGCCTGGTATGTAACTCTGAACTGGGCTGGCTGGATCTGTGTGGTTGAGTTGGTGGTGAAGCTCATAAATGAATATAGACACCACTGTCTCTGGGCTTTGGGCCAGCAGAGGGCACCCAACCAATTCCTCCCGGGCTGAACACACACCTGACTACTGCACAAGGGAGTCTTTCAAAGGCGTGTGAGTGGGGCAGGTGAGAGGATAGGAGGCAGCAGGAAGCCTGTTGAACAAGGGATGGCAGTAGGTGTTCAACGCCTGGGTCTGTCCCTTTGTGCCTTTGTGCTGACTTGGCAGGGTGGCTCCTGTGGCCAACTTTGGCCTTGTTTTGTTTTGTTGTTTTGTTTTTTGCTTTTCCCTTTCCACCAGTGAGAGAGTAGTTATTCTGGGGGCCCCTTAGGTCTGTCTGGGACCTATAGAACTAAGTAAAGATGCAAACCAGGAGTCATGATTTTCTTATTCTCAGAGTCTATAGACAGAAGGAAGAACAGAGGACAACTCGTTCCTATGTTCCCAAAAAAGCAGAAGTCTGGACGGTTCCTTCTGTCACCTATTTTCCGTTTCTCTTCTTTGTCCCCTTAATTTGCCCCTGTGCAGCAGCCAGCTCCTGTCACCATCTCTCTTTCAGAGGACTCCTGATGGATTTGACTCGGTGCCGCTGAAGACATCTTCAGGAGGCCCAGACATGGACCTGTGAGAGGCACAGGCCCTGCCTCGCCTGCCTCGCCTGGGCACATCATCCTGCAGGCCTGTGGCAATGTAGGCACAAGCATCCTGCACTCCCCACTGCTGGGAATCTCTTCATCGTGGCCTTATCAGAAGTTTGGATTTCAGACCCTTGTTTTTTACAGAGTACCCAAACCTTTCTCTCTGCTTGCCTCAAACCTACCAAATATACCGACACTTTGTGTATTGTTTCCTTGCTTGCATCTTGTTCCCTAAAATAGTCCACCGGTGGGAGCCATACTCTCATCTGCCCATAATCCTTATAGCTCTGGAGTAAAAATAGTTCTTTTTTAAGTATAGAATTGACCTCTGACCACCTGCTTGAGGGCAGGAGCAGCTGGGAGTTTTCTTGGTCAGATAAAGGTCTTCGACTCATGGTCTCTTCAGGAGAAGCTGTGGGTGAGGGAAGACTGGAGACTGAGGGGCAGTCTTCACAGTAGCCCGGATTCATTTCTTCTGGGTAATGAGCTTGAATGGGGAGTAGTGGAGAGTCTGAGGACAAAGGTGAGTTGAAGCCTATGTCAGAGGAGACCAGAAAAAAACAAAAACAACAACAAAAAAAACCCCACAAAGGCAAGAAAAACAGGGTTTTAGCCAGGCATTGGTGGCACACGAAACAAAAACCCACAAAGGCAAGAAAAACAGGGTTTTAGCCAGGCATTGGTGGCACACGCCTTTAATCCCAGCCCTCGGGAGGCAGAGACAGGCGGATCTCTGTGAGTTCGAGGCCAGCTCTGGTCTACAGAGCTAGTTCCAAACAATACAGAGAAACCCTGTCTCAAAAAAAAAAAAAAAAGAAAGAAAAGAAAAAGAAAAGAAAAACAGGGTTTTATTTGTTCTATTTTATAACCTGAAATCTCATTTCCTTCTCTCTCTTTTTTAAAAGATTTTATTTATTTTATTTATACAACATTCTGCTTCCATGTATATCTGCACACCAGAAGAGGGCACCAGATCTCATAACGGATGATTGTGAGCCACCATCTGGTTGCTGGGAATTGAACTCAGGACCTCTGGAAGAGGAGCTAGGGCTCTTAAGCTCTGAGCCATCTCTTCAGCCCCATTACCTTCTCTTAAGTGATAAAAATTTTCACTAAAGGCAAAGGAAATTATTTACCAAGAGCATGCCCAAAGCCCTAGGAGACCTATCTTCCACAGCTGGTTTCTCCAAATGCCCCTTCTAATTCCTTAGGGCCCTAGGAAGAACCAGGTAAGTTTATATTCTCTTCTATTGACTTCACTGGGAGATGGTACACACTTGCCAGAGAGAAAACGTCCATCTGTGATCATCTCAGCCCTCCAGGCCTAGGGCACCATGGGATGGAGTGTCTTATTTGAAAAGAACATGGGAAGCCAGGGCTTTAATGGGGTAGTACTAGGGACTCCAGCCCACAATGGCATGGATCAGCTATGGTTGTGATATCTGTGAGGTCATAGAGTTACTGGCTTCTAGACTGACCAGAAAGGGGCTGCATGCAAGGCAGATACTGACCAGGCTTCAGGGAGGAAGACCAGGGAGATGTTACAAGGTCTGCGCCCAACTTGGGGACTTGTCACCCCCAGCCTGTGCCCTATTCTCATTTCACTTGTGCACTAAAAATCTGAAAGACCCCTGGCCTCCATTTCTGGTGACATCCCCTTTGAAAGGTGAGTCGACTAGGTACCAATTCACAAGTAGAGTAGGCTTCCTGTCCCCATCTTCTCCCTTTTACTCCAGGTATAAGTGATGAAGTATCTAGAATAGAAAAAACAGAAAATTTTCCAGTTAACTTTTTCTTCCTACTACTGAGAATCCTACCTCTTCCATCCCATGTCAGAATGGCTGTCTCTTGGTTGAGCCCCAGTCCCCCATGGTCTACACCTGTGCTCTTTCCCCAGTGACAGGCATTTGGTATAGAACAGAACAGCATTTCTGAGAGGTTTGTCAGCCACAAAGCATCTTGCTTGTCTGATTATCCATGGTTGCCCTGGTGATGGTTTCTAGGAATCAGAAGGAAATGAAGCTATGCCATGACTTCTAACCGTCAAAGGCATCCATGGTGACTAGATACATGTAGAAACATTTCTTTGGTCATTCAAACTGTCCCTCTATGTGACCTCAGGACCTTGACCATGCCGGAATGTTCTTGAGTGGATATGTACGCATAGGCCATGAGGTCATGGCCAGTCTCCTGAAGCCTCTTGGGCTTCTGCTTCCTATGGAATGACTGCTTCCTGTGATGAAGACCACAGGAGATACTTAGACTGTTCTGCAAGGACAGTCTAAGTTCATCTCTTTGGACTTCTTTATTCAGATTTCTTGGAATTGAGTACAAAGTAGGAAAAAGTTCATCTCTTTGGACTTCTTTATTCAGATTTCTTGGAATTGAGTACAACCCTCGCCCCCAACAGACATCCCCAGATTGCGCTGACTGGATGATAGATAGTACTTTTAGGGTCTCTCCAATACTCCTTACTGAGATGGTTCCTAAAGGAAGAGGGTTACCTTGTTGCTTCTCTAGCAGTTCAGCAACTTCAGATAGTAGGTCTACTAATACATAATTTGCATACTGCATAAGTCACCCTTTCAAAACATATCATTCAGTAACTTTGGGTATATCAATTTTAGTTGTCTGTGCTGAAGATGAGACCCGGGGCTTCTCACATGCCAGGCAAAGTGTTCTACCACCGAGCTACATCATTGACCATGAACATACAGTTTAGGACAGACACGTTAGCCCTTGAGCCAGAGTTGTGGTTGTTTGCACAAGCTTTAGGGGCAGAGCGTTGGCTCAGGAGCTAGTGTTTAAACTCCATATAGATATCTAGAATCCTAGAATACATAATTTCACCCTGTAGTCATCCTTATATTTGGCTGGGAATACAAATGCAGATTATGGTATATCCAAGGACCAGGGGATTTCTTATGCCATCAAAACTTTTTTTTTGTCTGACTCTATATTAAAACTAAGATTGACTATATTTATAAAACAGAAGCTTTGTAAAAGATTTTTCAGCTTTGTGAAATCATATTGGTGTCTCATTGGGGCGGGTTGGATTTCCTTTTTATTCTGTATCCCAAGCATTTATAGTTTGTTAGGGATGGGTGTTGCATGTCTTTTTTTTTTTTTTTTTTCAAAATAAAAACATACCTTTTGAACTGTCTTTCTTGAATTATGGGGGTGGGTGGCTGGGTAGGGGAGTGGGAAATGGTGTCTTTGAAGTGTAATCAGAAAAGATGAACAGAGAAAGGAGTATGGGTTTCAGAACAATACGCAGGATGTGGACTAGAAAGTTCTTGGCACCTATTGAGGAACTGATGCTGAATACCTCAGATTCTATAATAAGGAAGTCCATTAAGTGATACCAGGATTGGGTGAGGGACAAAAGATCTCACAAAGGTTAGCTTGTTAGGTCCCTCCCCCAGTCAGGCGCCTCTCAAGAGGGGTTATCAATTCTCAAGTTTCCCCAAACTCGCTTCTCCTGGTAGGAAGTGGATTATTACAGACTAGAAGTGGAGAAAGTTCTAGAGATATTACGGATCTACCATTTCCCGGGGTTCTGGAGGAAGCTGCACCTGAGTCCCTGGCTTCCTTATACCCAAAGAGTCTGGGGTATTCTGGTGGAAGCTCCACCTCAATCCCCTCCCCCACCCCGCCCCCAAACCCTGCCTCATCTCAGAAAGCCTGACAAACACCACTTCTTCCCCAGAGATGCTCACGGCCACTCTCACAGGGTATTTAAACTACCCCCCCAGAAAACAATCTCTCTCCCCCATCTCCTTTCTGAAGGGCTGGAAAATCACCCCGGAGCATTTTACCCATTAAACCTGGGCCTTTTCTAATTCAGTTTGATTTGGAGAAGAGTATGGGGTGCAGAAACTTTTCAACTGGGGTGGCTGGGTTTTTTGTTTCAGTACTTTCTTTCCCTCTAGTTGTGCACACTTAGTACCCCAGGAGACCTGCACCTGCCACATGAGTTTAGGCTGCCACAGGCTTTTGAACCTGAATATTACAAGGCAAGAATGTCCTATATCCATCTTTGGGGAGACTCTTGGGCATCCAACAAGTTTTTCCTCCTCCAGCCCCTTCCATTCCTCTATCATCAGAACCTTCTCTTTTTTTCCCCTGGCTTTTCAAGAAAGGGTCTCTCTATGTAGCCCTGGCTGTCCTGGTACTCACTCTGTAGACTAGGCTGTACTCGAGATCCGCCTGCCTCTGCCTCCCCAGTGCTGGGACAAAAGGCATGTGCCACCAAGGCTTGTCATTAGAGTCTTTTATATCATCCTCCTCCTCCTCCATCCCTTCTTTATGGTTTTGCTTTGTTATGTTTGGTTTGTTTATGCTACATAATGGAGATCTTGCATACCTGACTGTGTGTTTTGGTTTTGTGTGTATGTATAGATTTGCCATGTTGTTGATGTGTGTGTATTTTTATATTTTTATTCATTTAATTTTTATGTGTATGAGTGTTTAGTCTGCATGCATGTTTGTGCATCACATGTATGCCTGGATCCTGAGGTGGGCAGAAAGGTGTCAAATCCCCTGGGACTGGAGTTGCAGTTGGTTGCTAGCCAATTCCCAGTGTGCCTGCTGGGAATTGAACCCAGGTCCTCCGGAAGAGCAGCCAGTGCTCTTAACAACAAAGCCATCTCTCCAGCCCCACTGATGCTATTGTGGGTTTTTGTTTTGTTTTGTTACAAAATAAAAAGTACATTTATTCAGCAACAATGATACATTTTAGAATTATACATTGAAAAAAAGCAAGTTTCTCAACATTTTCAAATCCCTTGCAGGTTACTCTCTGAGATTCAGGAATTATCAGCAATTTCAAAATTATGATTACTTTAAACATACTTCTAACACTATTTAATACTTTCACTCTATTATTTAGATAACTAAAACTCTTGTTTAAAGAAAGAAATACTCTTGGCAGTGTTACAAAGGAGGACAGCTTTGCTGCTGCTGTGAGATAGTATCTCATATGTTCTGGGCGGGGCCTGAACTGGGCCAAGAATGACCTTAACTGCTGAACCTTGTGCTTTCCATCTTTAGAGTGTGAGGTGGGTAGATTCTCTGACAGGCAAACTGGGGGGAGGGGAGAGGCATGACTAGATAGTAAAGATGATGGGCTTCCAAGATGGCTGGTTTCTTCTTCACCCTCCTGACCTGAGA